AGACCAGACGTGATCTGCACGTATGCGCTGAGGATTTGTCTTAGGATAATTTATTTTAGGTTATCTAGACCAGACGTGATCTGCACGTATGCGCTGACCGAGGATTGGTCTTAGGATAATTTATTTTAGGTTATTCACCAACTTTACACAGCAGGAAAACACCACACACACACAATGACACTGAAAAATAAGTTTTAGCTGTCCCAAATAACACGCAGAGGTTTTGTTAAATAGTCCATGCAGCATGAGTTTAGTGTTACTGCCCTAGTTGCTAACTTCTTGTTAGACAAAACAGAAGTGAGAAAGACTGCCCTTGTAAGACCCTTGTAAGATAATTTTTACCTTTAAACTCAAATGTGTAATATATAACAAAATAAAAAATAGCAGTCTATAGTGCTCACTTGCAGCAGTTTGCCATGAAGCACAGTATACATCAAACCCTTACCTGCTGCTCTGCAAAACGGCCCTTGACCAAGGAGCCCATGACCTGCTGCGGAGACTTGGTGGTGCTGATGTAAGGAATGATGAAACTGCCGTGGGTCTTCTCTGCATAGCAGATCCAACCTGGGAAGAGTGGAACTAGCACGTTATATTAAAAAATAGCAAGCAGCCCTTCGCTCTGACCACCCTCTCCCCAGACTTAGTGCACTTTAATAACCATTTTCAGTCCACTTCAGCACGAAAAGCAAAGGAAGTGTCACATAAGATTCAATTTAAAGAACTCATTAGGTAACTGTACAGATCATTGCTGCTATTAACACCTGTATCTCTTTGTATAGTGAAAAGAGTAATCCTCTAAGTAAATTTATCCATTCAAACTCCTCTGACTAGCTTCCTGAATTTTTCTTCTAGGGTACTATTAGTGTGCCATTTTATTATTCCCATGACTAATTTAATGCCATACCTGGACAGGCAGAAGCCAGCATTGGCAAAGCCTTTTTGTCTTCAGATTGCTTTCGAAAGCGTTTCACAAACTCTCGTTGGCTCTCCAGCAGGCTGAAGTTTCTCGAGAAAGTTGTATCGAAAACATAGTGCACACCTAGGCAGTACAGCATCTGTGTTAAAATTCACAAGACACAGCAAACCACAACAAAAAGCCTCCAGTCAAACTGGATTCAAACTTATTTATGTCTTATTTACAGGTATCAACCTCTGCAGTTGAGAGTGAACCTTTTTCCTTTGTATACCAGCATAATAAGACAAGTAGAAGTGACAGGAGGACTGCAAATCTAAAATGTAAAGTTCCTTTCTCCTGTCACTCCAAATTTATGACTGAAGTTGCAGTTTGCATTCTAGCAAACTATGAAATATTATGAGTTCACAGGGAGGTTAAATCACATCAACCTTGTGTACTCACAACAGTTATGCTTAACAGAGACCCCAGTGGTCCCCTTGGTGATTAACAGAACGCACCACCACACTTACCTAAGCTCTTTAGGAATGCAGTCAACTTCTTTGCTGTCTCCAGAATGCCCATTTGACACCGTGCAGCCAGGGAAGCTCTGGATTGCGGTGACACAGAAACCACCACCAATTTCTGTTCATTGGGAGCGGCGGTCTTGGAAAGAAACAAACACACACCACCGCTGTTCAGACAACGTTACTGTGGCACACGCAGAACTTTCAGCATGCTGCAACAGCAGAAAGTAACTCCCAGCTTAACTCTGAAGTCAATAACTTGCTACACTGAAGGTCCTTCCCAAACCCATGATTACTTTTTTAAACATTGGAAGAAAACACACCAGCGCATCGAGAATGTCCTCAGAGCCTTCAGACCTCTCAAACTCATTTTTGTGTGTGCCATTTCCACGCGTGCTTCTGCAGAAGCATCACACAACCTACGGAGACCTTCAAACTCTGCAGACCTAGGCACGACGCGTCACCCACCTTGTTAAAAGTCAGCACTTTGCACAGCTCCTCGTGGCTCTGCTGAGTGATTAAAACACTCTCTGCTGATGTAATGCAGCCACTACAAGCTAAGCAGTCGTTCAGAGTAATTTTAGCCTTTTCCAGTTTCTGCGCCCCTCCATCCTAGGAAGGAACAGAAAGGAACAGGTTACACTCAGTTCCGAGCACAGCGCAGAATTCAGTAGCAGCTTTCCCGTCTTTACTGTATTTAATAACAAAGATGCACGCTCTTGACTTGCCATTAAAAAGATGAGGAGGAAGACAAGTATCTCTGAGGTTTGCTGCTTTGAATAGGTTTATTTGGCACACAGGTGCCTCAGGAACTTGGATTTCCCTCCTTCTGCACAGGCTGTGTAACCAGACTGCACGCTTGCTAACATTTTTAATTGATATTGAGTGTTCTGTGATCTTTCTGTGTGCAAAACTTACACGGACACTGCTGGGGGCAGAGTATTAAAGACAGAGTGTGGCTTCCACTGGGAGGAAATAATTTTCATACCATTCGACCTGAATAAGTCAGTTTTCCCAGGAGATTCTCCTCTGAAATGTCACTTCTCAAAGTCAGAAACAGACCAAGCAATTAAGTACCATGAAATTAAAATTTTAAAATAAGAAACCAGGTTCCTCTGGAACTGCTATATTCCCTTTTTTTTTTTTAACTGAAAAGGTCATCATCTGCCTGAAGTTAAAAGTACCATTTTTAGATGAATTCCCAGCCTGGTTAACTAAGAAATGCTAACCTTTTCCATGCAAACAGGAAAATTGCTCTGCAAAACCTGGCATTAATTTCGGAAGCAGTAGGTTTACGAATTCTGCATGCAAGTTAGCAAACAATTTTAAGTATTATATTAAAAAATCAGAGCAAAATTTAAGGCACCCAATTGAATCTCTTTGTGAGTGAGCACTCTGTTGTATGACATAATGCAATAAGAAAAGACACTGCCTCGAATGATCTAGGAATTGCTAATACTTCAGTATTCGTGGCAAAATAGACTTGTCAGCTTGTTTGCTCTTAGACTGAAATTCATCACTAATTAAATGTCAGTGTTTCAGACCATAAGAGCTGACACAAAATCACGATTACTGCTTATAAAACTGGGTAGTTAAAAAGTTACAAGATACAAGAATGCTGACAGCATTTGTACCATCTTGGTCCTCTCTGAGGTGTTAAGCAGCTGTAGCCTATTCAAATGCATAACAATACACTTACATTTGCTGGATATTTTGCACAGTAGTGAAGAAAAATTAAGCATACCTGATCGATCTGAAAATAGCTTCCATCTGCTTCAATTCTGATCTTAGCTCCTGCTTTTCCAGGCTTTTTCTCCACTTTTACAGGTTTGATACATTCCTGAATAAGAAATAAAGCCCAAAAGCGAAGAGATAAGCAACAAAGAGTGGAAGAGGTAGATTTAATAGGAACTAGAATGATCAAACCCAAACACAAGTTCTAGAGTGAGTGCTGCTTGCTCTCCCTTAAGCTGTGCTGGATTTACTTACAGTGTCTACAACCACCAAAGGAAAATGTAAAAGCAAAAACTGCTTACCCCTTTGTTACAGAAGGAGCACTTCTCCAGCATCATACCAAAACCGGAGGATGATTCTGCTGCTAAACACAGCTGTGTTTAACGGAGTCTTGGAAGCAACAGAGGCTTGCCTGCACAGCCCTCCTCCTAAGATCTCACAGAGGATCCTGCACTCTTCATTGCAAATTTTAACTGACGGAGGCGTGGTCACCGCAGTCAACACGCGGCTTGTGCCAATGAAGTTGGATTTAAGGTCGGAAGGGCTCTGACGGCCTCAGAGGGACTGCTGCCAGTTTTCTGCATTGTTCTGTGATGGAGTCTCAAGGGGGCTTTTGCGTTTGGTGCAATTTTTATTGTTTAAGCACCTTATGACTCCTCGTCTTACTCCTACAGCAAGGATCCTCTTTGCCTTTCACCACCCTTGCTCTGCCAAAGTCCTCAGTTCCCCTCCCCAAATTAATCCATCTTTACTACATCTTGCAAGATTCAGAGACTAGCAGGAACAAGGCATCACGATTCTTCAGTTATCCTCACTGAATGAAACAATGATCTCTACTTGAAACAGGAAAGCAGGTCACACTATTTGCATGAAAGACTTCACCAGGAACCCCAAGTACTGCAAGGTTAATGGGGTTTGCTATGTCCCATTCCGCTGATCTCATTTCAGGATAGTTTTTCCTGCTGTACTTGTCAGCAAATACACCCAGGATCACTATTTTGTACTTTTGCCAGTGCCTGGGGACTCCAAAAGGCAAAGTCTTGACCTGTCCTTGCTGCTCATCCCCACCTCTGCCACCCGCTCCTGTACACTGCCATGAGCATCTGTGCGGTTGGGCAGTGTGCAAGGAAACTTGTTTAGCCCTGAGCTGCTTTTTTTAGGGTGTAGATTAACATTTACGAGGGTAGTTCCCAGACCAAGGCGGGAATGGCTGCTGGGCCAAGGTTTCTCTTCAGCTACTTACAGAGCCTTGCACCCAGCAGTGTCGCTGCCCTCCCTGTGCCCTTCGTGCTGCAAGGGGCAGACAGAGAGGGATCTCCGCGCTTTTTTCCTTTTACCACGGCCAGGGCTGACCCCCACCTCCCCTCAGCGCCATCTTCTCTCCCCCCTCCCTCAGGCGGCGCTGACAAGGCCGCCCCCAGGAACCCCTCACAGGGCTGCGGGCTGCCCCTCCGACTCCGCCCCTGGCAGCCCCCGGCCCGCCA